AAACTGTGCTATGACAGCCAAGTGTCCCTCAGTTAAGCTATTTTATTGTTGCCTGAGCAATTACATGCTGTCAGATTAGCATGTTAAAGAGCCAAGTGCACGCAGGCTTTTGCATCTCCAAGGAGAGAAAAAAACAAAGGGGGGGGCTGAGGGTCCATTTATGTTGTTCTTATGCCCCTCTCCTCCTGTCTCACCCACCCTCACCCCTCCTGTCTCCCCTTATCTCCCCCTCTGTTACTGGTCGGCAGGCAACAGATTAGGCGAGGCAATCAGATTTAATGGTGTGAAAGTGTCAGCTGGACGTCTGGGAGATGCAGAGAAGTCATCAGTAAAGGTCACCACTCTTTACTGCTGCATCACAGGCCGCCTGGCCGCTATAAGCCGGGGACACACCACACTGTTTTAGGACCAGACACTACCACGGTTTCACTGTGACGACTGAATTTAAAGATCATTGTGAGTCTGTACTGGTCGGAGCAGCGGTGGAAAGTAAAGAATGTGTTCTCTGTGCTCTCATTCCTGAAGTTGGGTACATTTTTCATGTACTTTAACCTTTTTTTGACCACCAGTAATCCCCCTTTCACTTACATTATGGAGAAAATTCCACTTAAATTTCCATTGAAGATTATTTTCTCCTCTTAAAAGATCTTTAAAGTGAGATTTAATTACACACATTTCCTCTTGAAGACAAACAAGATGAATTCATAAGCAATATAATGCACCTTTCCCTAACTCAATACACTGAGGGGATTTGCTGCTGTAGCTTCACTTAGTTTGCTATCACCAATAGCTCAGCTTTTATTAAATATAAGTCTACTCCATACTCCACTCCACGTGTGTGTATTAATCTAATCTAAAAAGTCGGCTGTTAAATGTGTGATTGATTTTTAAAGGTCTTCTTCAGCCGACGCTGTCTGTCTGTGTTTTGGTGAAAGTGGTTTTGGCAGCAGGGAATGATGGGTACGCTGTTGGAGCAGACTGTACCCTGGCACTGCCGTTGACTGCTGGGGCCTTTTGAGAGTCATTTCCTTAAAGGCCACAACTTTGTATGACTGAGAGGAAGAAGCTGAGTGCTGCCTGCTGATTGAGCGGCTGATCTCTGGATCTCTGCCTCTGCAGAACCCGCCAACATATTCACTCACTGACCAACAAACTAACAGAGAGAGTCACGGTGCATTTATAATAAAATAATGCTCTGACAGCGACAAAGTCTCTTCTTGTACGTCTTGTTAAGAGCCAAAAACAACGGAAAACTTAGAAACACAAAGCTGGAGATCACATTTTGTCCACTTGAGGATCCTACACATTTTCCACAGCTCTTCAAACACTTTGTTGTCCAGATGACAGACAGTCGCTGCAGTCGCTGCAGACCTGATTAGAGGTTTGTTTAAAAGTAAAACACATTTTCAGCTCTTTCTCTGTTTTATGTATTTGAAAATTAAAAAATTTAGAAGGTCAGATAATGAAGAAGTCATCTTGGGCTTATTAAATAAATATTTTTCATTGTTTTGTGACATTTGAAAGACTAAACAATCAACAGATTAAAGCACAGAGGTACAATAGATGCAACAAATGTCTAAAAGCATGAACACAAAGTGAACACATGACCAAAAATACAGTTATACGATCATGTAAAAGAAAATAAGTGAGTTAGAAGATGCTTTTAATTTCCCCCCCACACAGTCTGCTGTTCTGCTTTCTGTCATTAGTCCTGACTCATGGTTTGTCCTTAACGCCCCTCTGCACCTGCTGCCCTCTCTACCTTCCCTCTCTCCTTGTGTTTGATCAGCTGGAAGACGCCAGAGGGACAGTGCTGAGTTGCAGCTTTGACAACTTAGTCACAACGTCTGTGTAGCTTTTATATACAATATATAGTACAACTGCAACCTTTTATCCTTGTGTGTGTGTGTGTGTGTGTGTGTGTGTGTGTGTGTGTGTGTGTGTGTGTGTGTGTGTGTGTGTAGGTAGATCTGTCTGTTCATTAGTTGTAACACATAATAACAACAATTATTGGAATTAATGATCCTTCCACCAGTCATCTGCTTCCATCCAGTTTAGTTTTGAGTCTATAGACAACTTTAAACCGTATTGATTTGTATCTACAGGTCATATTCCACCTCTGTGATTTTAAAAGCCCCTTAATGCTAAATCTCATCTGGTTCCAGCAACAAAATGTGACATTAAATGTCTTTGATGAGCAGCTGAAAGAAAAAGATTATACAAGACACAACTTTTTGGCTTCACTTAGTAAAGAGAGAATTGAGCATAATGTTGAATTTTCAACTAACAAAAAAAGTGTGAAGAAGATTATATTTAGTTTGTCTGTCTGTCTGTCTGTCTGTCTGTCTGGTGTGTGTGTGTGTGTGTGTGTCTGTGTGTGTGTGTGTGTGTGTGTGTGTGTGTGTGTGTGTGTGTGTGTGTGAGAGAGAGAGAGAGAAAGGGACAGCTGGCCACTGAGAAACACTGACTGTGGGGGGGTTTAGCCGTGGGGGCTATTGTAATACCATTTTCCAGACATCTGTTCCTTTCTTCTATTCAGATTGACCTCCCACCCTCCCTCCACACTTTCAAGTCTCTCTACAATGATCTAAACTCTTCATCTAACATCTCTGCTGACATTTGCATCAGCACCATCATGGCTGTGAAGACCGGGATGAGGGATCATAAACCTTTTTTGTTTATCTGAGTTGAGTCCTCTGTCTCCCTCCTGTGGTGTGGAGTGGGCCTGTAACAGCCTGTACGTGGCATCGTTGTGGGGTGTGCCTGCTTCGGGAAAGAAAAGAGAAGGAAAAAAAAGGGGGCTTTTATTTCAAAGAGCATAAAAGCTCTGCTGCCCACATCATGTATGAGTCGGACACACCCCACACACACACACACACACACACACGCACACACACCACTGTCACATCTGGAAGCAATCGACTGCCATGAAATGTACCTCGTTCACCTCTACGCACACACACACACTGACGCACACACTCCTGAAGTAACCAGAGGAGACGACATGGTGACTGACCTCCTACACATCCTTTTCATTACAGTCTAGACCAGCGTTTCCCAAACTTTTATGAACCATTGCACCCGTCCCTGGCCCGCCCATACAACATGCCTACATGTGCAAATCTTTCAGATAAAAATGACACCACAGATATCTCCTATAATATTTATTGAAATGACCTAACAAAACAAATTGTTTGTGATATAAAACATGTCACATATGTGAACTAACACCAATATTAAAGGAGCAGTTTGATATTTGGGGAAATCTGTTTATTTGCTTTCTAGTCTGACTCAGAGTTTTAAAAAATCCTCCTACCAGCGCCTCTAAAACTCACTAAAATAACAGTATTTATTAGTTGGATTTTGTTACCTTCAGACAGAGCCAGGCTAGCTATTTCCCCTCGTTTCCACTCTTTGTGCTAAGCTAAGCTAACTGGCTGTTGGCTGTAGCATTGTGTTAAGCGTGCAAACAAGTGATTGTTAAACGACTGCTTTTAGAGTAATAAAATTAAATGTTACACTTAAAATAGCGAATTAGCTAAATATCTGTTTAAGTAAAATTCACTAACCTTGGTCATCTTGAACTCTGTTGATGTTTAAATGTTTCAGCATTAATTTGAGCTCATTTTACAAAGACAAATATTTCCATCACTTCATCTGACAATCAATATTTCTCTCTTTCAACCAACCAATCCCTCTCCAATGCAGAGATGCAAAGTGGTGACTATCTTGTCTGTATGAGCAGACGTTCCTTGAGGTGAACCTGTATAATATTTGCTGTGCAATCAACCACTGTGTCCACACATTGTTATTAAAGGATAACAGTTAATGATAAATGTAGTGCAATAGTAGGCCTGTCATAAGTAGAGAGGATTCGTATAATCAGCAAAAACTCACCTACCTAAGTGTTGTTTCTGTGGCAATTGTAAGAATCCTTCTTGTTACATTTAAAGACGTAACATAAAATGTAGTTTAAGCACTGTACTTAAAAACAGTTCAGAGGTACTTTAGTTTAGTGTTTCTATTTTATGCTTTATACTTTTTAGGTTAAGATTTTACACAACAAACTTGCATAATGCAGAATGCATTAAACCGAGCTGACTGGGTTCTGACCTCATATATAAAAACTTCTTGTGGTCTCCTGTCACATTTCAGATGTCTGTGAGTTATTAGCAGTTCAAAGAGACATTTCACCTTCTAAACTTCTCACATGGTTTCCTTTTATTTAAATAACAAAACGTCAAGTTATCACAGATTTTCGCGTTCGAACTTTGTTTTTTCTTCTTTCCTCACCTATCAATCATCTCACGACCCCTCAGATTTGTCTTGTGACCCTGTGGAGGGGCCCGACCCCTAGGCTGGGAACAGAGTAAACTTCCTAACTTTATATAAAGTTGTTAAAACAACCTACAAGTAAACCTGCAACATTAAAATGCTTCTTATGAACTGATGCATCAGCTTTAACAATCTAATCCTGTAATATAATATCAGTCACACAAGTTCTTGATACTTAACTTCAATTAAAATATTACTTATATCAGTATCTTTACATACAAAAAGGATCTGAGTATTTCTTCCACTACTGAACGTTTTTTTATGTAATGAAACATTTAAATTAAAACGCCTTTGGCTCGTCTTTAAGGCACTGGATGCCGAGCAGCCTCGCACACAAACACACACATACATCACTGACTGAACACGTGGATTGACAAGTTAATTCACTTGATAATCTGATCATCTCGCTCTACAGGCCTGGACCTGCTGCGTTTGTGTCTTTAGCTGTTGTTTGTTTTGGAGCCACACTGCAGCTTTTGTTACTGTCAAGTTCAAACAAGTTCATTTATGTTTCACATCATTTAACGGAACTAGCCTGTCTGTCTGTCTGTCTGTCTGTCTGTCTGTCTGTCTGTCTGTCTGTCTGTCTGTCTGTGCAAGCTGGTGGTCATTTCTCTCAGTGCAGAGTTTTATTTTTCAACTGTCAGAGCTGGGGGAGGGAATACAGGCTGAATGAATGAGTTTCTTTTAGACCTTCGTTTCTTCCATCCCTCCCTTGTTTCCTCCCTCAAATTGCCACCTCTCTCTTACTCCCTCTCTCCGTCTCCCTCTCAGTGAGAATTCCTCCGTACCTGTCTGAACAGGGAGAGTTGGATCGCTGAAGGGCAAAGGAAAGAAAGAAAGAAAGAAAGAAAGAAAGAAAAAGAAAGAAACAAACAAAGAAAGAAAGAAAGAAAGAAGGAAGAGAAAAGAAAGAAAATCAAGAGAGGGAAAGTAGGAGGAACAAAAGGCCCATATTTAAAGAGCACAAACAGGAAAGAGGTGTGTTTGAGACAATTTGGGAGCAGACAGAGAGCAAGAGACGGGTTTGTCAAGGTATCGGGGCTTCAGTTTTGCTTTTTTCTGTTCCTTGCTGGGCTGTTTTTTCGCCCCTTTTGAGACCCGTGGCTATTTTGGTCCGTCAGTGTCGGAGCGGTTTGGGATGGATGCCATCATGCTGCAGGAAAAACTGGTGGAACGTCTGCTGTGCCCACGAGTGAGAACAGCCAGGCAGAAGGTAAAAAGTTGGATTTCGGGGGACAAATTGGTGAAAGATATGAGGAGAAATTCACAATACAATAAAGAACAAAGACGCCAAGTTCAGGTTTACTTTATAAATGCATAAACAAGAAGCCCTAACACTAGACTCTAGACTCTCTGTCAGCATCTTTTGGTGTTATCTCTGTTTTTCTGTGGAGGTGTCTGCTCTTGTGATACCTCTGTGACAGATTTACTGCTGAGATGATTTGTCTTTCCTCCAAATGTTTTTATGATTACTCAGTGATTTATCTACAGCTTTCCTCATACTCACTCCTCTGGCTCTCTGGCAAGTGTGTCTGCCATGCACTGTTTGCACCGCCTGTAGTTTTTTTTTGTGTGAATGAATGTGTGTGTTTTTGTAAATGCAATCCTCACCCGAGGGGGCTGTCGGAAATGCCTATGACAAGTTATGACAGCATATGAGGACTCTGACTGTGTGTTTGCGGAGGGAAAAAAAAGAGCTTTTCAGGTCCGTTGAATGTAGCTTCTGTCTGTGCGTGAATGCTCTCGATGGGCCTTGAGTGTGTATTTATATCTGCACATGTCAGCACGTACTGTAGAGTAAAGATGACGCTCTGCCAGATGCAGCCGAGAAAACCTGCAAGACTGAGAGCTACTGTCTGACACACAAAGAGAGAGGGAGAGAGAGACTGGTATCCTGTGGTTCTCTTTGTGTGTTTCTGTGAGAGTTTTAGTGGAAAAAGTGAGACACTGGTTATTCTCAGCTGCTCAGAGGAATGCTGTGCACGTGTTTTTCCATGCAGTTGTAGATTTTCTGCATTATAGACGCCGTCTGTCTGTTGTGGTCATTTTATTGCATTGGGTGCTGCCGGATGCATTTTGTTCTCACATTAGAAACCCTCTGAGCTCTCTTACAGTTATTTGAAGTCTGCCTCTTTTTCCTCTACAATTAGTTGATTATTCAATTAGTACCTTTTTCAACAATATGTGAGGATGTGCCACTCGTGTCTGTCTCTTGTAGCAGTGTAGAAATACTAAAAATAAAAGTCATACATTTAAAACTTGACTTGCTTTAAGTAAATGTGCAAAAGTATTAACATCAAAAGTAAAAAGTAAAAGTACTCATTATGCAAAATTGCCCATTTCAGAATAATTAGTGGATTATATTTAATGATGCATTAATGTGTAATGGTGTGGCTAATTTTATTTGCCTATGGCTATCTAATTTATTTGGTGATTATATTTTGTATTATTAATCTGAATCTGTAAAGAAACCAGTAGCGGAAGTTATGGGATAAATGTTTTGGAGTAAAAAGTATAATATTTGCCTGTGTAGTGGGGTGGAAGTAGAAAGTAGCAGAAAAAGGAAAGTACTCAAGTGAAGTCCAAGTGCTGCAAAATTGTACTTACAGTACTTACATACAGTACATGTACTTACTTTCCTTCCACCGCTGCTCTTTTGTGGTAGTAAACAAAATTTTTTTGGTTTTGGTCTGGTGGTCGAACAAAACAAGCGATTTGAGGACATCACCTTGAGTTTTAAGAAATAGAGACACTCAGTCAACCAAACAATCAGTTGATCAATCGAGAATCAATTAACAATTTATTTTATTTTATTTATCTGCTGATTATTTTTCCACCTAATGGAACCAGTTTGGTCAAAAATGTGGATGCCCTTCACAGTTCCCTAAAGCCCAAGGTGATGGTCCTCAGATATCTTATTTAGTCCGACCAGTAGTCCAAAACCCAAAAATATTAAATTAACCATCACATGATATAAAAAAAAGCCACAAATCTTCACAAATGAGACGTTATAACTAGAGATTATTTGGCAAAAATAACAAGTAATCAATTATAAAAAAAGCTGTAAATGATCTTTCTGTCAACTACTTGATTAATTGACTAATTGTTTCAGCTCTACAATAACTGTCATCAGGTCATTAACACCTCCTTCTCCTCCTCCTTCTTTGTGTCCTTTTTTCTGTCCCAGGAGAAGCAGTATGTGGGTTTTGCAACTTTGCCCAACCAGGTCCACAGGAAGTCTGTGAAGAAAGGCTTCGATTTCACTCTGATGGTGGCAGGTCAGTTCGTGGTTGAAGATGCAAACATGACAGTAAAGTTACACACAGTTCACACACACACACACACACACACACACACACACACACACACACACACACACACACACACACAGGTACACCTAGCTAACACTGGTGCTGGCTGATACAACAGCCCTGAAAATAAGTCTAAAGGAGGTGTCGATTCAGATTAGGTTCACATACATTATGACCTTATATGTGTGTGTGTGTGTGCTGCAGGAGAGTCTGGTATGGGTAAATCCACCCTGGTCAACAGCCTCTTCCTCACAGACCTCTACAAAGACAGGAAGTTACTGAATGCTGAGGGTGAGTCTTTATGCTATTTATTATCTCTTTGTATGAGTCATAATGAACGCATGAGGTCTGATATTTATATAAGCCAGACCACCGTCCGTCTTACATTTAACCTTACGTTTCTCACAAAGCTGCTGTGAAGAAGTCCAGTTTATCTCATATAGTTTCAGCAGCTCTCCGTAAATACATCGCTGGGTTTGTGTCTCCAAAGTTATTTACTAAATCAGGCTGCACCATTAAAACCTGTCTCTGTTAGTCTGGAGAGACTGAAGATGTTTCTTGGTTTGAGTCATATGTTCATGCAAAATAATTATGTGTGTTTCAGAGTTTGTAATATTTAACAGGAATGATAACACAACCTAAACAACATCTAACATTTCAAATTATTTCCTAATTTGAGGTACATTATGTGATCTTTGGGAAATGTGATTTCAAATGTTCTTGGTTTCGTTATAACAGGTCAGATGTGTCAGTCTTATCTAATATTAGCTCACCTCTTTCACTCTCATATATTAGCAAGCTAACATTGGTATTAGTTCACTTAGCTACACCACAGCGGTTTAAATATTTAAAAACAGCTAATCTCTATGTCGTAACTACTTTGTGTGGTGCAACCCATTTTAATTCAGCCATTGTTTGTTAATCTGTCACTAAAAAAAGTCCCCAACAACTGCAGGATTTTCTCCTGTTTGACTGATGTTTGTTAAAAACTACAGTGCCCAGCTGTTGTAGGAAATTAAAAGTTAAAGTATCTATGTATGACCTGTTTTTAAGGTTTGTAGTTGTGCTTGTTCTACATTTTCTCTGACCTGCTTTTTCAGCTGCTTCTCCTCATTTGCTCCCCGTCACCTTCTCCTTCTCTGTGTTAATGCTTTGTAGAGCGCATTAACCAAACTGTGGAGATCATCAAACACACTGTAGACATCGAGGAGAAAGGAGTCAAGCTCAAGCTGACCATCGTAGACACGCCGGGCTTCGGAGACGCCGTCAACAACAATGAGTGGTGAGCTGGAAGATCTGATGTGTGCCTCTGCATTCAGCCTGCTCGCTTGAATTCACTGTGTCTGGAAGACTTGCTAATGTGGTCTGTGATGTATGTGTGTGTGTGTGTGTTTTTTTGTGTGTGTGTGTGTGTGTGTGTGTGTGTGTGTGTGTCCCAGCTGGAAGCCGATCACAGACTACATAGATCAGCAGTTTGAGCAATACTTCAGAGATGAGAGCGGGCTGAACAGAAAGAACATCCAAGACAACAGAGTCCACTGCTGCCTCTACTTCATCCCTCCATTTGGACACGGGTAAAAACACACACACACACACACACACACACACACACACACACACACACACACACACACACACACACACACACACACACACACACACACACACACACACACACACACACAAACAATGTATAATGTATCGTAACAGTGACCCAACAACACTTTTCCACCTTTAGATTTTCTAAAACTGTGTTCATTTGTAGGACTTTAATCACTTCGCTCTCGGTGCTCACTCTGGTTTTCCTTCCACAGGCTACGTCCGGTGGATGTTGAGTTCATGAAGGCTCTGCATGAAAAAGTGAACATAATTCCTCTCATTGCGAAAGCCGACTGCCTCACGCCCAACGAGATAAAAAAGCTCAAAGACAGAGTGAGTCCGAGAACTACATCTCCACCATGTTTTACTGAATGTAGGTTGTTCACTGTAACCATTGTTCTGATTCGTCTGATTTGTGTCCAGATACGAGAGGAAATAGACAAGTTTGGGATCAAAGTGTACCAGTTCCCAGAATGTGACTCCGATGAGGATGAAGAGTTTAAACAACTTGACAAAGAGCTGAAGGTGAGTCTGTTACAGAGTTACAGTTACTGATTCACTGGAAGTGGCCACATATTGGGGTTATTTCACTTCTCTGGAGTTTATTTTCTCACTCAGCCAAGAGTTTAGAGATACTTAGTTTTTATTATTATTTAGATTTTTCATATTTTATTTGTTCAGCCGGGTAATTATATTTTCTGTAAATGTTATTTCCCAACATAAATGTCTAAATGCTGTTTTAAAGTCATCTTTTCAACAGTATATTCTTTCATATTTATTCATTTTCTAATTTTGTCGGCTGTACAGAAGTGAAATATAAATATATTGAGTTTATAAATACTTTTATCTGCTAATTACACTTCTACCAGTGGCTAAAACTCTCAGATAAACACATACAGTAGGATATGACCTCAGTGTTCATAGTATCTGTGGCTCTGTTGAGATATCCGCTTCTAAATCTACACACACCCTTTACAATAAACAGAATTATTTTCGCTCCTCAAAAGCTAAAAAAAAGACTTGTCTTTCCAGAAACAGTTTCAGGAAGTATGTTGTAACAGATGGAAAAGGTCCTCTTAAGGTCTGTGGACTGTTTATGAAAAGGGACATAAACAAAACTTTATTGACCTCAAATCTCAGACAGAACACGTGAAATTTAAATGCATGACGAGATATCACAGCTCTAACTAGTGACACTATCACCTTCCTGCATTGTACTGTAATAACTTTTATTAGGCCCGTTTGAGACGAGTCAGATTTGTGTTCGAGTTGATGCTGATTTGCTCTGACGTTGTGTGCACGCAGGCAACGATAACCTCAGGAGATCGAGCCGGCAGCAGCTTTTAGAGCCAGGCTGATTGGCTCGTGATTTTCTGTGTGATTCAATATTTAACTGTAGATTGTAGCTGTTTCATGTCTCTCGTTGTACAATGAAGGTTTATTCTGTTAAGAGATCTTAAGTGGTTGATAATAATGATAAAGTTTATTTATAAATCCAAACGTGGTCTAAAAACTAAAGGTGACAGGATACAAACATTTCTGTAACTTCCTGTTTATTCTTTAAAGGCTGCTGGAAGCTTTTTGTCACAACCTTTTTTTCAAGCCTTTGAGTGGTGCATAGAAGCTGGGGAATGTTTTAGGCTTGTGACGTGCGTAGAAAAATCTTAACTCAAAGTCTAACTACTTCTTCCTTAGCAGACTGGTTTGCTCAGTTTACGTCACACAACTTTATAACCACGTCTCTGTTGACAGATTGCCGTACGTAGATCAGGCGATGACTTAATGCGCAGGTTGAAAGCTCGAGAAACAGCGAGTAGTAAGAAGAGTTAATATATGTGTGAACTGACAATTTAACCCTTGTAGCGTAGAAGCAGTTCTGTGTGACAAAATAAACAAGAGACAGTTTTCTTTTTACGTGTCTGAACAATTACAGTCACGCTTCTCTTGAGCTGCTCAGTGGACTTTTGTGAATGTGTGAAACTCTACCACGAAGTACCAGGACCAGTGTGCCTCAGTCCGCATTCTCTGGAAAGATACGGGTTAAATAAACAATGTGTGTGTGTGTGTGTGTGTGTGTGTGTGTGTGTGTGTGTGTGTGTGTGTGTGTGTGCAGGAGTGCACCCCGTTCGCTGTGATCGGCAGTAACACAGTGGTGGAAGCTCGAGGGCAGAGAGTGAGAGGGAGACTGTACCCCTGGGGAATAGTTGAAGGTATGTTTATGTAACATCTGTATGTGACACAGTTTGAATGTCATAACTTGAATTATTGATCAATCTGACATGTTTCTTTGTCTCAGTGGAGAACCAGTCGCATTGTGACTTTGTGAAACTGAGGAACATGCTGATTCGATCACACATGCACGACCTCAAAGACGTGACCTGCGACGTCCACTACGAGAACTACAGAGCGCAGTGCATACAGGAAATGACCAGGTATGTGAAAACATCACAGAGAGAAGGTTGTTTAAACAGCTCAGATAATGGCTGAAGTTTGCCTGCTTCACCTCCTCCTCCTTTTCTTCTTCTTCTTCTCCTCCTCAGTAAACTGGCTCAGGACAACCGTATGGAGAGTCCCATTCCCATCCTGCCACTGTCCACACCAGATGTGGAGACTGAGAAACTAATCAAAATGAAAGATGAGGAGGTATGAAGCAATCTTTTGTTGTTTCACCAAACAGTGAATGTTTCTGTTAGAGTTATTCTTCATGAATGTATCATAGATGAGTCACAGGTCAGTTTTGCTCTGATACAACCGACAATAATACTGAATGTGATGAGATTTTGTCTCTTCATCACTGTACTCCTTAAAAAGTCACTAGGAGTAGATGACATCGCTGACTAAACTTAACTGTGAAACCACTGAGAGAATATTTTATATACCTTTAAAGTAATACATGAATTAATGGGCCAACTTGTAACCAGTGGTTCAATGTAGCCAAATACTGTACTTAAGTACAAATCTGAGGTACTTTACTTTGAATTAAATTAATTAATTTATACTTTATACTACATCTCAGAGGCAAATATTGTTCTGTTTTCCAATCGCATTTTTTCCTTCCCCATACCTGAATTTTGTGTATTGTACTGAGAGTGAGAGAGCGTATATAAAGAGCCTATCTGATACATGTGCTTAATAAAATAGACATTTATTATTATTTATACTACTAACCCTGTATGATTAATCATTGTTGTATGGCTTGGCTCATTCTCTTGCCCATTGGAGTAAATTTCCAATACTGGTATTTGGCTTACTCACGTTTTTACTCCATTACCTTATCTGACAGCTTTAGTTCCTCTACTGATTACAATTTCAATTTCATACCTTTACTGTCCATTGAAAACCATGTGTCTCCAGATTTGGTGATTTTTGAATTGTTCCTTTATGGATTGAAAAAAAATCTCCTACTTCTTAAGATAAATAAACAATTTAAACCGTTTATTGGATTATCCGGGAAATGTACAAAGGTACATAGTTCTCACAGGACAGCGACTGTACAAACACACGATGATTAAACTACCCAACCGCATATAAAGTAGTTCAAATGAGCTCAACTTTAAACATCTGCAGCAGTGAAATTCAACATAAACATTAATGCAGCAGTGATGTTAATCCCAAAACATCATATATAACAGTAAATGCTCCATCTGTGGCTTAAAGTCGTCGGTTCAGGATGAATTCATGTGGAGAGTTTAACCCTAAATGTTCCTCTCTGTCTGCAGCTGAAGAGGATGCAGGAGATGCTGAATAAGATGCAGCAGCAGATGCACGATAAAGACCAGTGATGTCTCTCCCGGAGCAGAGCTGGGCTGCAGCGCCACCTACTGTTTCTCCCCTGAACGACAGTGAGACCTTCAGACGTTGACCATGGATATCATGTGTTAGTGGCAACTCTGGCTGTACATTTATCCTCAGTTTGGTGCTTTGTATAGTTTGTCTGCCTGGAGGGTTGTCTGTCAGAGGGTTTTTGTTTTTTCTCTGAAACTATCCGTTTGCCCAGTTTGAGCCCCTTGCTGTGGTTTAACAGTCTTAACATATATAATATAAATGCGTAATTTAAATTACTACTCTGTGTATCTAATTTATAAATGCAATGCTAAACTTTTTGGATATTTTGTCAGGTTATGAACATGTGTGCTACAAGATGTTTTGTAAAGAAATTTAGGTTGTTGGTGATGTTTAAATTTGAACATGGATATTGTTTTTTATTATATGTTTGTGAGCGTGTGAGTGTGTGTGTGTGTGTGTGTGTGTGTGTGTGTGTGTGTGTGTGTGTGTGTGTGTGTTTTTAATGAAATATCACCAGGTATCCGTCCATAAAACTCCCATTTTTACTTACTTTTGTTAAAATCCAACTTTGCCCTTGTTAATTTGCTCTCGGATCCTCATAAATACCTTCATGTGACATTTTTTCACATATGGCAAGTCAAAATATCCTCTCCCAGCATTTTTTATATGTGCTGTCTGAGCTGAAAATGCACTTATTGCCAGTGGCTAACTGTGAACGGAGAGCCTTCGACATAATGAGGGGGTTGGTGCAGTACAAGGGTGCATGTGCAAGCATGCTGCCATTACTCATATCCGCTAAACTCTGTGGGCCTATTTTTACTGCTTTATAGCCGATGCCCTGTGCTTGTATTTGAATGCATCATGACCTACAGTATGCTTTGATTCCACTATGGGATGGTAAAAATAGATAAATAATGAGGAGCAGATACTGTGTCTGTGCTTCTGTTTTTTCTCCGTGGAAGTGAATTGCTGCATTTTGCCAGTAAAGATGTGTATCCTGTATGTGAGATTGTTTGAGAGAGAGTGTGTGTGTGTGTGTGTGTGTGTGTGTGTGTGTGTGTGTGTGTGTGTGTGTGTGTGTGTGTGTGTGTGTGTAGGCTGATGCTGAACAACAGTACATATTTTGCCTGAAGGCTGTGAGTTCAGCCTGTGCCCCATTTATAAAGGTGTGACAAATAAACTCTTGTTTCTCGTCAATTTGACTTTGCAGTGTATGCGTTGTTTCTCTGAAGGTTATAAAGCAGAACGTTAAGGTCCAGTGAACGCAGCACGACATCCTCTGTCACTTCCGGCTGTCAGAGTCTGAGCAGCAGGGCTCGGAGCTGCAGGAACATTATCTGCTGATTCATGTTTATCTCCTGCAGCCATTCTTCCTCTGCATTGCACACATCATCTTCCCGCCAGTCAGAGGAGACACTCAAGCTTAACATTAGTATGAATGATGGATTTATATCAGTATTTTCTGGCAGAGGACTTTCACTTATATATGTTTCATTTGTAATATTCAGTGGTGGATGATGTGCTGACGTACTCTTCAAAACACTCTCTTACAAACAAAAGTAATTCATTCAAAATGTAAAAGTACAAAAGTATTACCATTAAAATAAACTTAAAGTATCAAAAGTAAATGTACTCATTGTGCAGAATGGTCCAGTTCAGACTGATGTATTTTACATGATTTAATTATATATATATATATAAATATAATTATCGATGCATTCATGCAATATTTTTATTGTTTCATATCAATTTAAACTACCTTCATATACAATTAAATAAAAACAATTCTGTTTTAAAAAATGTTCATTTGGCATAAAATAATGGCAAAAATATAAATACATGGATATTGTATAAAATTTATAAAACGTTCTCTTTGTAATTTTAGGTTGAGTGTAGTGTTAGTTATGGAAATATTTTGCTTTCTTGTAGTACTTAAATGTTGAAGTGACTCTCCTTAAGATGAAAATAACAACAGTGGCCCTATGTTGCTGCTGGTAATTTTAATAATACATTAAATATAAAAAAAATACATCATCCTTTATTTGCTGATTATATTTAGTATCATTAATTTGAATCCAGTGCTATTCAGTGAAAGGGAATACAGTGGAGTAAGTGCGATCTTTGCTTCTGAACTGTAGTGGAGTATATTTTAAGTAGCATAAGATGGAAATACTCGAATACAAGTACCTAAAAATTGAGGTAAATCACCGCTGCTATTTAACCAAACTGTTATATCTGATACATATCATAATTCAGGCCATGTTGTCTTCTTTACTGTGTTTGAAATACACTTCATTTTAATTACTTTAATTTCCTAAAAATTTTCTAGGAAAGTACATGTTTCAGAAAACTTCCTCGAAATTCATCAGAAATTAACCCCTAAAATAGTTACTGGTACACTTCCCTTGTCCTGTTAGAGGTCTGTGTTTACTGTAATAGTGTGTGTACTGTACGTGTGTGTGTGTGTGTGTGTGTGTGTGTGTGTGTGTGTACTGTACATGTGTGTGTTCATATTTGACAGTGGTCTTTATCAGTGAGTGCCAGCTGGCTCAAACACACGCACTTGGCCTCTCAGAGCGGCCGCAAGTAACACAGTCCTCTCCTGAAGACACGCAGTGCTGAAGGTAAATGACTCTCTTCAGACCTTATTGAGACTTTTTAGTTCTATAGTTTCATTTTTAACAAATAAAGACAGTAAAACAGATATTTTTGCCTCAAAATATCACAGAAATTAGAAATCTAAAGTTCAGTTTGTCAGAATTATTCAGTTTCTAACAGTATGGAAGGAGCCTGTTAATGATTTCTTTATTTGCTTTGTCTGATTATCAACCTCAGAGTCTTGACCTCAAGGTTGAGAGAGTCCCCACCAGTGGTCTAATGTAACTAAGTACATTTACCCAAGTACTGTACTTAAGTACAAATCTGAGGTGCTTGTACTTTACTTGAGTCTTTTATTTTTCATGACACTTTCTACTTCTTCTCTGTTTATCTATTTAGTAACTTTTTACTTAATTTTATTTTTTTGTAGTTTGTAAAAATATTAATTATAATATAAAATATAAATGTAACTACCCAACAGTATTATTTTGATCATACAAAAACATTTTGTGGTTCTAGACTGAAAATGTCTGATCGGATCTGCTGCTTTTACTTTTAATGATTTGAACATTGTGAAGGTTTCACTTCAGGTTCTCTGTAATTTTAATTTTATTTCTCACTATTTTCTGAAATTTAAGAAACCAAACAATCAGATGATAACTCAAGAAAACTAATTGCAGATTAATCCCAATGATTAATGATCACAATGAAAATAATCATTATTTGCAGCCTAGTTTCAATTTAGTTGAAAATAGTTAAAAAATTAGCTCCTCCTCAACAACAACCCAAAACATGCTGTATGTTGTAAAATGTACAAAATTGTATTATTTCATATTTATATGAACAAATAATGTTGTATTGTTCTATGTTTCCTCTCCTCTCCTCTCCTCTCCTCTCCTCTCCTCTCCTCTCCAGCGACTGGTAACTATGAAGGGGCTTCTGCTCCTGTGTCTGCTCCTCTTGTTCGGAGGTCAAAGGTCATCAGCGTGCCCCCACCTTTGCTCCTGTCATGGCAGTCAGGTGAACTGCAGCAGCAGGTCTCTCAGCTCCTCCTCGCTGCCCACCAGTTTCCCCGCTGGGACCACCGAACTCCGTCTCCATGACAACCAGCTCACCAGCCTCCCTAGTGGGCTCCTGGATGATCTGACCTCCCTCCGCTCTGTCTCCCTTCAAGGTAACCCCTGGGTGTGTGACTGCGGCGTCCTCTACCTGCGAGCCTGGCTGCTGCGTCAGCCTGCTGCCCTCAAGTCACACCTGGGGGTCAACTGCAGCTCCCCTCCGAGCCTCAGGGGGCGGCTGGTGGTGTATTTAACCGAGCAGGAGGTCCTGGACTCCTGCCACTACTGGTACTGTGACTTGGCTCTGGCCTCACAGGTGTGCCTGTTTGTGTTTGTGCTGGTGCAGGTGGCTCTGCTGGTGGCTCTCTTCGTGTTCCTGAAGAGGTTCGAGAGGCTGTCCAAAGAGGCGAGGAGGACCACAGAGGAGAGCTTCACAGCCGGGGAGGGTCTGAGGGAGAATGATTTCATGCCTTTAAAAGACAGCAGCACCTGATGGAGCTGTGATGTGTGATTGTTAGATACAAAAGAGGGAAAAGAGCTGTTTTCTGTGTGGAGAGAAAATGTCTCTCAAAGGCTTTTGTGCTGATGATTCTAAAGAGGTTTTTTTATGCACAAGCAGGTGACAAATTAAAGGAAAACTCGGAATAAATGAGTGGAAAAAACAAAAACAAATGAAAATGCTTCCATACAGGACACAAGAGGAGTGTCTGAAAATATGAAAATAATGAGTCATCATGTCACTAGAGCTCAGTTACAATTGTGTGAGACTGAGGACAACACTGAAGCTGTTCTGGCAGCTTGTGTCGGTTTTTCCTTTAATTTGTCACCCATCTGTGTGTCCAAAGACCATCATAAACCAACATTAAACACTGTATGCCACTGTAGAATAGATTTAATGAGTCTGCACTATTGGATTTGGAAACTATGTAAACTACTTTGAACATATTACTAGCATTTCTGTACTGCTTTTCTTCGTTACTCACCAGCCACATGTTGTATATAATAATAATGATCAGATGAATAAATTACAGTTTTCTATCAAAAGTTTGACATTTTAACAACACAAACATGTTCTGCCTTAAACAAAACACATGTGGTTCAAACATCAAATTACAATTTTCTATTTTCTTGAGGTTGAAACTGATAAATAAAAATGGATGTGTTTATAAAAGTTTACCTTACCCCTGTTGAGCACCTTGAAATGTTTTATTTGTGGACTTGTGGACTCTGAAGTACTTCATCAAATACTGATAAAGCATTTATATCGTGTTTGGTGATATCAGTTTTTATACTTGCTTCATATTTTAACTTTTATTTCAGGTGTAGTGATTTGCCATTTTGCATTTGTTAATGATTGTGCCCTTATGTCATGATAATTTTAAATATTTCTTTTGGAACTTTATTCTGATACTTTAAACACAAAATAAATGTTACAGATGTAATTAAAATGTGCCCACATTGTGTCTTTCCTTTTTTTTTATACATGTTCTAAACAAATTAATGTATTATTAAAAATAACTTTAATGGAAATGTATATGGATTTTTTTGTGAAGTTTATTTCACGTGTTAAGATGTTGAGTTGATATTAAGTTATTTTACTTTAAATTTAAATTTATAAATTACGACCCATAAAAAATACAACGTGTATCTCAGTAGCGGAACCTTTCTGCTGGGGCCTACGTTTCCCCGCCGGACTGTTTCACCTGATGGACCTTCATGTGTTTACACGTGAGATTTGTGCAAGGCTGTAATTTCAAACGCGAAGTGTTTAAATCTCTAACGCAGTAGTGTGACCTGTCACAATAAAAGGTTTGTATTTTATTACATGTATAAAGATTTAGCTCTTACCAGCTAACTTAGTCCTTAGTGAAGTGGTTGTTTTCGTGGTGTCCAACATTACACTTGATCAGGTCATGTTTTCTTTCCAGACCTCAATTTAAAATGGGGAAACTGAGGAAGAAACACAACTGGAGGGGGCGACAGCAGAGGGACCCTCAGCAGCCAGCAGCTGGAGAGCAGACAGATGTTGTGGTTGAACTGCGAGGTAGAAACTGAGAGATTAAACCCCTCAGCTGCTCACATTGTCTGCTGTAGTGCCACTTACATGTGTTGTTTTCATCAGATGGGGGCAGACTGAAAGGTGTAGACGAGAGCAACGCTTTGGTCCTCCCAGCCAATAAAGCCAAGAAGAAGAAAACCTCAGTGGCACCTTTCTCCACCAGAAAGCCCCTCACCAAGAAACAGAGGAAGGAGCTGCAGAAGGTCCTGGAGCGCAAGGAAAAGACAGCTCAGGTGAGAGACAGATTGATGCTGCAGGTTCAGACAGAGAAACAACCTGGTCCAGTTTATATTTTATAACTACAATAATGTCTTTAGGAGTGCTGAAACAATTATTGGAGCAGTGGTTTAGTTGATCCACAGGAATACGTTTTATGATTTATTAAGCATTTCCAACTGTAATGTGTCTGTATTAAAGACTATAATGCTTGAATTTCCCTCGGGATAAATAAAATATCTATAAAACTTTTGTAGTCCTATTTGATTAT